CCGACTTTCTCAGGCTGTTCATTCTGGTGTTCTTGCACAGACTTGTTTCCATATCACTTTGTTCAGTTGTCTAAGGCTTTGGTTATTACTTTGCATTTACAGTTCTCTGAACCCAAGTAAAAATTTTGTTTGAACTCTTAGAAAATAATGAATTTCCTTGTTTCTGCAGCAAAACTTTAATACAGTTTTTAATTTTTAATAAAACCAGTAACCTAAGGAACCAGTCGGTCAAAACCCCTTATAGTAATAAGTAAGAATAGATAATTCTAAGACCTCCTTGAATACAGCAGATCCTATCCTGAGGTTCCTTTCCTTGCTTTTCTTTTCACATAAGCCCTTTTGGGAACCAAGCATATGTTAAAGTAGCACATGTGTTCCTTTACACTTTAACAAGCTGCCCATTAGAGGGCAGTAGCGCACAAACACAGCAGCCAGGAAACCATCCTGTAAACACAGTGTGTCATAATTTAGTAAATTTATCTAAACTCCGCATTTTGCTGTAGAATGTTTCGGCAACTACAGATAGGGTCACCTTTGAACTTTTAACATGGGGTTTTCAAATTCTTGTTGCATGTATTTGGCTTACAGTTTTTCTGATTTTGTTTGTAGGAATACTGTTAATGAGCAACATGTTTTTTTTTTAATAAGTGATTAATGTATAGACTGCTGCTGCTGTTTTTACTACAAGTGCAATCACTATTGTTACTACCTTATAAGTAGTTGGTATTGCGATCTTACAAAGAAAAGGAATGCATTTCATTTTAATACATGGTATACAAAATCATGTAGCTAGTATTGCCATAGTTCATATCTAATCCTGTTTCTGGGCTGTCTGTTCACTTTGTCTATTTAATCCTTCACAAAGAGTCACAAGTTTAGAAACTTTGACTCACTCATTTTCTCTGTCTATCAGTTCTGTCTTACTGGGACAAAATACCTGAGACAATGAACTTACAAGGAAGGAAGATTAATGTTGATTCTGTGGTTCAGAGATTTAAACAATAGCTTCTAGACCCTGATGTTTTGGGCTTTGATGACATAGTTGTCAAGACTAGTGTACAAGGTGAAAGAGGCTGTTATCTCACTGTGACTAGAAAACAGACATGAAGTGGCTGAAGGGCCATTATCCCCATCAAGGGTGCACACCCTGTAATGTAACTTCTTTCCACTGGGCTCTAACTCATAAAGATTTTAGCACTCCTCATAGCACCAATGGCTGGTGACAGAACCTAACATATGAGCCACTGGATGGCATATAGATCCAAGCTATACTGTTCTGAATTTCCTTATCTTTTTATGGGTCTTTGTTCTTTCCTATAAAAATAAACATGCCAAAGTACAGATTTTGACTAGAAGTGCTATGTACCCTTTGTTTTTCTGAACGACCTTAAGTCATTGTTAGTACAGCAGGTCATAGAGATGCTAAAAAAAATTAAGATGTAACTCAGAGATACTTGCAATATTTCAAAAGTTTGTAAAAATGTTTTAAAAGTTGTTAAAATGAGGAGGCCAGGGATATGGCTCACTAGGCAAAGCCCTTCTCATGCAAACCTGACAATCTGAGTTCAGATCCCCAGAGCTCATGTAAAAACAAGACACAGTGATGTCCAAGTCCATAATGCATTTCCGTGTACATCTGTAAGGAGCTGGAATGTAGACACATGAGAAATGCCAGAAGCTTGCAAGCCAGCCTACATAGCAGTGAACAAAGAAACCCTATCTCAAACAAGATGTAAGAACCAGCAACCAAAACTTTGCTCAGACCTCTACACACACTCCTTTGGTGTACCCCCACACAGACACACCTATGAACATAGACATATATACACATATACAAGAGTATCTTTAAGAGTTGTCATGATTACTATTATTTACTTCATTTGAAATAGAATTCAGAAGGTTTTTTAAATTGCTACAAAAATAAGTCATTACCTCTCCACCCTGGAAACCTATTTCCACTATATTTTTAAAAATTATAAATTAAATATTCTGAGAATGTATGAATAGATAAAAGCAAACAAGTGTACTATTTTTTGAAGAAAGAAATTACAGAGAATACAGATAAGTGATGTTTTACTAATCCAGGCAAAATTTTAGGAAAAAACCCCTAAATATACACAATTTTGCATTTTCAAGGAAATTTGTAGCATAAGCTTGATTATCTTACATAAAGTTATTTATTTAGCATCACATGTTGAGCAGTACAAGAACTAAAATATGGTGCTTTGGCTGACGAAGCAGTCTTATTTCAATTGTGTTTTGAGAAATGCTAACTGTATCCTCTGCCCTGATCCACCTTTTTCCTTTTTGGCTCTTCTACATAACGTAAAAGAATTTGGGGGAGCAGTTTTAATAGATGGTGACAGTTGACCATTTTTAACTGACAAGAGCTTGTTATAGGATACTAATGAGTTTAGTCTACACCATGAATAGCATAGGTTCAGTGGAAATAAGGAATTTTCTGGTGGCAGAAGGATAATAAATGCAAGAATTGGTCTAAGAAAGGTTGTAAAGCACCCTTCCCTAGAGAACTTTAGAGAACACATAAATTCCACAGTGCTCAGGGTTTGAAATAGAATCCTCCTTTATTTGATGCTAGATAAAGTTTCATGCTGGCCCTAGAATATTTGAAAATATTAGCTGGTAAGATTAATGAGTGTTGCTCAGGGGTAGCATATAGAAAGTCCTGAGTTCAATCTCCTGCACCAAAAACTTTAAAATAATTAAATTATTATACTTCTGATATGTGTCATTGTTTCCCACTTGTTAGGATGCAGTGGGAAGTACCTTCTGCATGCCTCTCAGTTTTTTTCTACAACAGGTATATAGAACAGGACAAATAAACAGAACAAAAAACAACAGCAGCAGCAATACAACAAACCCAACTCTTTAATATGGGGCTGGAGAAATGGCCCTGAGGTCTTGTAAAGGACTGGAGTTCAGTTTCCAGCACCCACATTAGACAAGTCTCATATACCTAGAACTCCAGCTCCAGGACAGTCAGTGCCCTCCTCTGGCCTCTGTAGGCACCTGTATGCATGTGTGCATCTGCACACAGAAACACACATGCAAATACACAAAGCAATATAAAATAGTTTAAATTTTTTAATTAAAACATAACTTTTTAATCAAATAAGACATCTGCTTTTGTGGTGTTTTAGTAAGACAAGGCTAAATAATATAAAATTCATACTATGTGGAAATATTTTACATACTAAAGAGAAAACATGTAAGAAAGATAATGGATTATTGAGGGAAAATATAATTTTGGTAAAGTATCCAGAAAGAATGTTCATAAGAAATGCAAATTCAGAGGAAATGCAGAAGTATTTTAGACCAAGGGAACAGTGTGTTCCAAGGACTTGAGGCAGGAACAGAAAGCCTATGAGCCTGATTCAAATGGATATAGCATATAGTAACATAGAAAGACTAGATCTTGCAATGTCGTTAATAATTTTGGGTTTTCAGACTCGTTGAACATAGCGGACAATGAGGACTACTGATAACTCAAGAACAATGGCAGTGGGTTTTGATCCTACTGCACGTACTGGCTTTGTGGAAGCCTAGGCAGTTTGGATGCTCACCTTACTAGACCTGGATGGAGGTGGGTGGTCCTTGGACTTCCCATAGGGCAGGGAACCCTGATTGCTCTTTGGGCTGATGAAGGAGGGGGACTTGATTGGGGGAGGAGGAGGGAAATGGGAGGCGGTGGTGGGGAGGAGGCAGAAATCATAAATAAATAAATAAATAAATAAATAAATAAATAAATAAATAAATAAAGTGGAGACAGGAGAGAATCCCTTGGGGCTCTCTAGACAGATAGCCTGGAACACACAGTAAAAACCAACAGTCTCGAGAGGGAGGGGGAATGGAATGGGGAGAGGGGGAGAAGAGTGGGGGGAGGGGCGATGTGTGAGAGGAGGGGGAGGGGAATGGGACACGGGGAGGAGACGGAAATTTTTTCAACAACTAAAAAAAAATAAAATAAAAAAATAAACAAACAAACAAAAAATAATTTTGGGTTTTACTCTGATGAGGAGGCCACTTAACTGAACAAGGTTGTGGGTAAGTTGTCATGCTTTTAATAAGACCAATGTCTTCACTGCTGAAAGACTGAGAAGGGCAGAACCAAGGAGACCAAATGTACTGAATAATTGAAGAGCTGCTGGCTTAAACTAAACTGAGAAGTAGGCAGATGGTAAATGTACTCTGAAGGTGAGGGCCACAAGAGGAATGGTAATTGTATGTTAGCAAAGGGGATTAGAAGATGACTAATCTTTCCACAGGAATGATTGGGAAAAAACACATATGCTATTAACTACAGTGATCAAGACTGAGTTTATAGACTACATTTTAGACCCAAATTGAAGATGTTACTTTAAATCTTAGTGGAAATATTTTGTATAGATAGTTAAGTAGAAGACTATAGAATTGGAGAACACTCAAATTAAGAACATTGCATCAAGCCAGACAGTGGTGGCACTTACCTTTAATCCCAGCACTTGGGAGGCACAGACAGGCAGATCTATGAGTTCAAAGCTAGCTTGATCTATAAGTGAGTTCTAGGACAGCCAGGACTACACAGAGAAACCCTGTCTCAAAAAAAAAAAAAGACCAAAAATAAGAACAACCTGCCCCAAAAGAACATTGACTCATTGATGTCCTTATGATTAAAAGATAAAATACTGGAACTGATCTCAAAGGTTGATAAAGTGAAGGCCCAGGGATTGAGGTATTCATATAATTAAGTGAGGAGATGCAGTCAGATCTAAAATCCAGGCAAGGGACATATTCATGGAAGAAGAAGACCAACTGTCTCAGATGCTGCTGAAAGATCCTGGAAAAAGATTGTGGTATTCTATATGCATTGGTATGTATATGTATGTGTACTCACCTGGTTTCAGGTGGCCCTTTATGCTCTTCTGTTCTCTTCTTCCTGTTTTCCACTGTCATGTTAAATATGTTAACTTGGATACTTTTATTTGTGCCGGATGCTGCAGGAGAATCCAAACCCTCATATGGCATTCCAGAAAGTTCCACGCCCAACAGAAGGATCCCACTTGAGAGTTCATATTCTTCCTTTCCCGAAGATTAATGAAGCCCGGGTTCAGGAACTAATGCAAGAAAATCTTGCTAAGAACCAGAATGCACCTCCTGCCACACGAATAGAAAAGAAATGTGTGGTGCCAGCAGGTCCACCTGTTGGTATGTATTGTGTGTGTATGTGTGTTTGCTCATTTTAAAAATAAGCCTTTTATGAAAGGGGGTGGTGTACATTTCTATAGCTCCAGCACTTGGGAGGCTAAAGCATGATCGTTCTAAGTTCTATGCCGGACTTGGCTATATAGGGAGTACAACACCTAGACTAGACAATGAGACTCTCTCAAAACTGTGACAGCAGAAACAAGCTATAACCATAACCACCATCACCTCCAAATCCATTATATCTACCGTCACCACCTCCATAACTACCTCTGCTTCCACTGCCTCCACCACCATAGCCTCCTCTAACACCAAAGTTTCCACTACAACCAAATTATCTCCACTACCCCTAAAGTTTCCTCTGTGACCTATAAAGTTGCCAGATCCACCTCCATAACCTCTCTGTGATCCCGCGTCTTTTCTTTAAAAAGGGCCTTTTTCACTTCACAATTAATGCCACTAATAGTGTGGTGTTTCAGAACAATAATTTTATCAATTGTATCATGATCATTAAAATTTCCAAAGCAAATCTTCTTTTTTCTTACATAATTTTTATGGTTTCAATCTTGCCATACCTTTCAAAATGGTCTTTCAGATTATATTCTTCTCTATATTCTTCACTGTTGAATGGGTACTAGGCTGGAAAAGATTCTTTTGGTTCCACCACATGCCCATCAACATGCGTGGCCAAGCATACATTGCAGCATCCACCTCTTCGACACAACAGTAGGTCACAAAAACAAAGCCACTGGAATTGGGTAGTCTCTCATTACCTCACAGTCTGTAAGTGTGCCCCATTTCTCAAAATGTTCCCTTAAGCTATCATCTGTAGCTTCAAAGCCCAGACCACCAGTAAACAGCTTCCTCAACTGTCCTGGTTCCTTTGAATCGTGGCCCTCCATTTTGAGACCAGACTCTCCTCTTTTAACTCAAGTTCAATATGGGACCCAGGGGAAGAGGCGGGGCTGTAGACTGTCTTTACTTACTGAACCTTGTCTCTTCTTCCCTAGCAGCTTAGGGAGATGTATTAAAATCTCGTGATTGTGACACCGTTTCCCATCCTAGCTCTAGCTTAGCATTCTGGGTGTATCTTGAAGTTGATTTGTTGAATGAGTATATATTTGCGAGTGTTGTACTGGTTAATTTACCTCTTCATTGTTATAAAATGTGAACTAAATTGTATCCTTCAAAGGGAGAAAACTTAGTCACTTTAAGACTATAGTTTTAATTTATTTGTGTTTTCTTTATATCCCTCCACTAGTTTCGATAATGGATAAAGTGATAACAGTTTTCAATAGTGCACAGAGACTGGAAGTTGTTAGAAACTGCATCTCATTCATATTTGAAAATAAAACTTTGGAGACTGAGAAGGTAATAAAATAATATTTTCCTATTTAATACTTTCCTTTTAGAATTACATTTCAAAGTTGGCAAATGGTCTGTTCTCTACTCTTTTGTCTCTTTAAGCCATTTTAAATGAATAGTATTCCAAATTTAAGACTATAGTTCAAGCCTATGGCTACAAGAGAATTTGGTAGTTGTTTTTTCTCTGTAGTTGTTATAAAGCTTTAATGTTATTATTTTAAATTGTGTGTGTGTGTGTGTGTGTGTGTGTGAAAGAGAGAGAAAGAGAGAGCACTGTATACACGTGAATAGTGCAGGTGACTGCAGAGGCCATGGCATCAGAACCCTCCCCCCCCCCAGAGTTACAGTGTGATGAATCACTTGATGTGGGTGCTGGGAAGTTAACTTGTATCTTCTGCAAAAGCAATACACACTCTTAATAGCCTAGCTATCTCTCCAGCCACTTTTTCCCCAATTTTAAAGCATGATTCTTTAGACCTTTTTTTTTCACATACTTAATTTTAATATAATTTCTTCTATTTTTGCAAGGAATCTAGTTAAATTGTCTAGTGCATACTAGAAACTGGTATTACAATTTAAATGTGTCTCTTTGGGTTTTCTTGCCTTCTTCAATGGTACATGCTGAGCATAACAGCCTTTTTTGGTGTCTCATGATCACAGTTCTGAACATCTGCTACAGGGGATTGGTAAACATGTACAGTTACTTGCTACTTTACCGAATAACCCATCATCCCTCACTTTTTCATGGGTTTTATTTTGGTTATTTGATTATTGATTTTGTTTGCATATTTATATTTCCAAATGTAGCAGGTTTCCTATTGTTTCTCTGTCTTCAGCTTGCATGCTATTTCTTTCTTACTTTGGTTTGTTTTGGTTTTAGATTTTTGAGAAAATCTCACTGTGTAGTAGTCTAGATTGGCCTTGTTTTACTGATGCTCTTGCCTCAGTCTCTCTGAATACAGGTGATGCCATCATACTAGGCTTTGCTGTTTTTATATCTGCTTCTCATGTTTTTAGACCCTCCTGCTCTAATACTTTTTCTTTTCTTGCTTATTGTACTTCCTGTTCTTTTAGGTTTTCCAAATTAAATATGCTCTTTATTACTATATGTGAATGAACAGGCTTTATATGGTGAATTAGAGGAGCCATTTCTGAATATTCATACAATGAAGGCTTTAATGCATATATCTAAAGGTATCTAAATGTCTATAGTTTTGAGTCATGGTCTAAGCAGCAGTGTATTTGACCACTAAAGTTGTATCAAGTCTGGAGAGTGGGGAGTGAATTTCATGTTTTCTCAATCTATATTATAAACTACCTGTACTTGTTTTTCTTGGTGTGTCTTAACATATGAACATATAATTACAAATCTGTTTTACAATTGGAATTAGCAGTTAATCATCACCAGTTCCCTAAGAATTCACTTCTAGTAACTTTGTTAATTACTTGACAGAATGTACTTTACTTTTCAGTGTGGTTGCTTTAAAGTGCATTTGGTCACTTGGAATTCTCTTGTCCTCAGACCCTTCCTGCTGCCTTGAGGGCCCTTAAAGGAAAAGCAGCAAGACAGTGTCTCACTGAGGAATTGGGTTTGCATGTCCAGCAGAACCGGGCAATATTGGATCATCAGCAGTTTGACTACATAATAAGGATGATGAATTGTACTCTGCAGGTAATCTTGAGTGATTTTAGATTATTTTTTAGATTAGATATTATTTGACATCTTTTCTCTAGATGTATTAATTACTGAAATATCAATGTCTTGAGGCTGCTGTAGCTAATGAAGATGTCATATCCACTGAATCATTTGCTCACTAATTGATGTAAATGCTCAGTTCTTTGTTCTTTCTTTGTTTTCTCTTGACAAGTACTATGATCTATACTGATTTCATATCTTAAAGACATAGAGTCATATATTACCAAATCCTATAGTCATATGACTCCTCAGTGAGTTTTTAGTTGTACTGTTGAAGCAAACAACAGTTAATGATAAATAACTCAATGATAAAAGAATGAATTATAAGAAACAGTCTCCTATGGACTTCAGAATAGGTATATGATCTTACAGAAATTACATTCCTACAAAATAATGAAGGCTCAAATTAGAAAAAACAATCTGGGTTCCTTGTTGGTTGTCATCCTGTTCTCTTTAAATATGCATAACCACATATAAATTCAGATATTGCCATCTGATTTTAGACAAAGATGCAAAAAATGTACATTGTAGGTAAAGCTGCCTCTTCGACGAATGATTCTGGGAAGGCTAGATATCCACATGTACAAGAATAAAAGTAGATCCCTGTCTTTAACTCTGAAACTTAATAGAAGACAAAGCAGAGAGAAACATTTCACCATATCAGCCTATGAAAAAACTTTCTGAAAAGGATCCCAATCATTTATAATCATATTTCACATTAAACTACTCTCATAAAGGCAAATATATATATTTTCTCTCATTTTTGTTTCCTAGATTTTATATAGATAAACTTATGTCTGTATATATAATAAGAAATTAGAAATGATACTGTTTAGGGGAACATAAGGGTCTAAGAGGAAGGGAAGAGGCATGAAAAGAAAATAGCCTAGGGGAATATACTTAACATGCAATATATACTTGTGTGAAGACAGGGTTTCTCTGTAGCTTTGGAGCCTGGCCTGGAACTAGCTCTTGTAGACCAGGCTGGCCTCTAACCCACAGAGATTTGTCTGCCTCTGCCTCCCGAGTGCTGGGATTAAAGGCATGCGCCACCACCGCCTGGCTAAAAAAAGAAATTTTGTAAGTTATAATTAATAAGATATTTTGTCACTGTCTTGTATGTTGTGTTAGGAGTGGCAGGGCTGCGACCCTGGCAACCGGCCGCCCGCACGGCTAGCTTTACCCGAATAATTACACGGAATCTGTATTCTTTTAAACACTGCCTGGCCCATTAGTTCCAGCCTCTTATTGGCTAGCTCTTACATATCGATCTAACCCATTTCTAATATCCCTGTAACACCACGAGGTGTCTTACCAGGGAAGATCTTAACCTGCGTCTGTATCCAGTAGGAGAATCATGGCGACTCCTTGACTCAGCTTCTTTCTCCCAGCATTCTGTTCTGTTTACTCCGCCTACCTAATTTTATGTCCTATTAAAGGGCCAAGGCAGTCTCTTTATTTAACCAATGAAATTAACACAAAACAGAAGACTCTCCCCCAGCACTTGTAAAGCTGCATGTGAATCATATTCTAAGACCCAAATATTCCATTAGATATTCTCTTGCCTATATAAGAGATGTGTATCAGTATTCTGAGTTACATGGAACAATTAAAGAAAGAGGGTCACTCCAGAAGTAATTCAGTCCTGTGGCAGCAGGGAGGTTTAGCCTTCCTGAATGAACCTCAGATAGCTGAGCAGAAGCATATTTATTGATCTTTAACACAAAAGTTGTTTGGGGGGGGGGGGGGTGTAAAACAAATTCCTCATACCAAAACCTCTAATCTAATCTGTATGTTTCATAAAGGAAACATCACACCCCTGCAGCTTTAGTCCTTATTGTATACTGTTTGCAGTACCTAATAATGCAAGATGCTCCAGGTGTGCCAGGACCATCTTTTGACCAAAATCCTGCAAAGGCTGTAAAGCTTCCTTAGAAAAAGAGAGATAGATAATAGAGAACAATCACTGTTTCCTACAGTGATTTCTTCAGGGTCAAAGTACTTCTATAAAACAACTTCATCCTAATGTTTACACTAGATATAGTAAAAACAACTATTTGATTCTAATGTTTATCCTAGATATAGTAATTCTACTGTTGTGGCATTTTTAAAATCATAGACAAGCTTGGACCTGGAAAGATGGCTCAGTGGTTATTAGCACACACTGCTTATGGAGAGGACTGGAGTTGGGCTCTTAGCACCTACATCAGGTGGTTTAAAACCACCTTTAACTCCAGCTCATCTCTTCTGTATTCTGAGAGCACCTATACTCACATGTCCATCTTATACCCCACCAGAGACATATAACTAAAAACGAAGTAGATCTTAACAGGAAAACTGAAACTTGTCAGTAATGGAATGAATATATAAATACTTAAATTTTTTTTCGGTAGACCATTATTCGGCAGAGAAAATGAACAAATAACAATATGATTGACTCTTAAGACAACTTAATTACAATACGTTTCCACATAAAAAGTCAAAAGCATATAGTATCTAGAAATGTTTAACTTAGTGGCATTAACGTAGGTGGAAAAACCACAAAGAAAACGTCAAGATATGGCTGTGGGAATGGGGCTCTAGTTCAGTGATAGAATGCCTCTTTACTTGCAGGAAGCCCTGTGGAATTTCAAAACCCACTAAATAGTTACTATTTTTATATTGATTTATTTAATAGTGATCTCTTTGGAAGATTGTTCAACTTGAAGTAGAAACATATCATTCCACATATAAACTGGTATGGAAACACTTAAGTTATATATTAGAGGTAGGGTAAAAGGTAGTTATATAAAGTAGATATGTGATTCTTTATTGATCTGTAATTACGTACATGTGCAATATAGTTGATTATAAGTCTGGAAAGATATTTACACTAAGTCTTTAATGGTTGGCTTTTCTGGTATGGATTCTAATAGTTTTGGCTTATAATTTAAATCCTAATAAAGTAGTTTAAATTTAAATTATCGCACACATAATAATTAAATAAGAGCATATCTTTTATAATTAAAAAATTATTTTTAGAAAATAAACTTTGTGAACCCTTATGAAAATAATAAATCATACTAAATTTTCTCTTCAAAAGCCCATATATTCTTTGTTACATTGTTATAGTATTTTTTTCTGTTCATAAATGACTGACCAAAGAAGTAAGTTTGACAAGATGTTCAGAAGCCTTAAATAGACAGTTTCCCAACTTCCTAATAACTGATATTAAAGCTACATAAACTATATTGAAAGTTTTGTCTATCAATATTTTCTATGCTGTTCATGAGCCAAAGTTTTTAAACTTTAAGTTTCACATTTTAAGATTATGTTTTAAAGGTCTTGTCTAAACTTAATCTTAACACATGTCATTTACAGATCTATAGGAAGCTGGGCTATAGTTTTTTCTTCTTTGAATATTCATCTTTCTGAGAAATAAAAAGTACAACACAATTTTTGTTTCTTTCAAATCATCTTATTTAGCTAAATCAGCGTTTCAGATGCATGTAAGCATAGTCCCCACGCCCATCAATGCTCCTACCATTATTTGCCATTGTATAAGCATTCTTTCTGGTTATAAACGGGCCTCCATATACTATCCTTATTTGAATGAGTTCTTTACAACCTGGGTTTATTTGTGTCTTTGTTGGAATTTCACAAAGGGATTTAAAATGACATTATTAATATTCTTTTCAAAAGCATAGAATTTAATAGCAGGCCAAACATCTGTGTTGATATTTTAAGAAAGAAATGTTAACTAAATGAACTAATTCTTAGTTAGTGATTCAAACACTTAGTAATCTTTATTTTTATGACCTAGAAGTTAGTTTCTCTCTTGCCCTCAAGGGAAAACCAAAAGGAACATCAGTACTGCAAAACAACTAATTTATTAGGCTCATTCAAAGCCAAAATAATTTTTTCACAATACTGTTTTATACAGAGTATAATTAATTTCTACAAAACATCTCATTTCAAAAAATGGATCATATGTTTTTTCTTTTCTTTTCTTTCTTTGGTTTTTCAAGACAGGATTTCTCTGTGTATCTTTGGCTGTCCTTGTTGTAATATGAGTGGCGGGGCTGCGTCCCCAGCACCCCGGCCGCCTGCTAGCTTATGCCCCGAAATAATTACACAGACACTGTATTCTTTTAAGCACGCTTGGCCCATTAACTCTAGCCCCTATAGGCTAATTCTCATATCCCGATCAACCCATCTCTAATAATCTGTGTAGCATCAGTCTTACCGGGAAAGATTCTGCATGTCTGACCTGGCGGCTTGCTTCATCATGTGTGTCTGCCTGGGAGAGGGGAGCATGGCGTCTCTGAGCTCACTTCCTCTTCCTCCCTGCATTCTGTTCTGTTTACTCCACCCACCTATGTTCTAACCTATCAGGGCAAGCAGTTTCTTTATTTAATTAACCAATGACCTTTCTCCATCATTCATTCTGTAGTAATTTGAGTAGCGGGGCTGCGTCCCCGGCACCCCGGCCGCCTGGCTAGCTAACGCTTCTAAATAACAACACACAAACTGTATTCTGTTAAACACTGCCTGGCCCATTAGTTTCAGCCTCTTAACCCATTTCTAATAATCTATGTAGCACCACGAGGTACACTTACCAGGAAAGATTCAGCATGTCTGACCTGGTGGCTGGCTGCATCGCTGTCTGCCTCAGAGAGCAGAGCTATCGCGTCTGCCCGGGAGAGGGGAGCATGGCGCTCTGAGCTCACTTCCTCTTCCTTCCTGCATTCTGTTCTGTTTACTCCACCCACCTATGTTCTAACCTATCAGGGCAAACAGTTTCTTTATTTAATTTACCAATTACCTTCCTCCATCATGTCCTGGAACTCACTCTGTAGACCGGGCCTTGAACTCACAGAGATCCCCTACATCTGCCTTCCAAGTGCTGAGATTAAAGGCGTGCGGCACCATGCCCAGCCATATTTTTCAAAACAAGGGTACAAAAAACATGAATTGAACCCCCACCTTAAATCTTG